GAGAGATTTCAGTTTATTTGATTTACGTTTTACGGTAGCTCTGAGCGGGACTCGAACCCACTGTCTTTTTCAAGCTAATTTTGTTTTATTTTGATGGCACGCTTGTGTACACGCCACGACGTTGGTCGTTAAGTGGTGTTCATTTTTCTAACTACTCCAGTGTTCCGATGAGTTGAACGGAAAAGCCAAAACGATTGCTGGTTTCTGATTGCTTCGGTTCTGGTGAGTGTGTATCTAGTGTGATTCAAACCCATGTCGTTTGTATTGGGCGTTTTTTTATTTCCCATGTTAGCTACGCCGTAATATGCAACCACTTCTCCGTTTTATTGTGATTTTGAGTGTTTAATGATGTCTTCCTCACCCGTCACGCCATGACCCAGTTTCAACCACACGGCCATTTTGCAACACAGTTCGTGACCCTCGGCGTCACCCGACTGACTATATGAGCGTTCTGTTCAACTGTTAAGCTAGGATTTATTACCGTTATTATCATTATATTGTCATGTGATTTGTTTTACCTTATGTGTAATGTCTTAAGTATCTTTATTGTAATTTGTATATACCAATTCGTATATACCGAGGAAACGACCCCGATTGAAGGTCATGTATTTTATGACGTCACCAATTCATGTGTAGGTACTGCTTCTAGATCTGTGCCCAAGCAACTTAAAGGACGGTGGTCGGTGCTCTGCGTCATGTTCCATATGGGTTCCATTACCGTAAAATCTGTATTAGAAGCCGCATCTCTAATAGAAGTCGCACCCATTCTTTTTGAATAATTGAGAATCAAAAATTCATCATTTCTCATAAGTGTAGTTGCTCTAATAGAAGCCGCATCCCCTCAGTTGTATTGTATTATTCTAATAGAAGCCGCAGCTTCTAATACAGATTTTACAGTAGTATACATATATAATGTGTGTAGAATTAATTGTTGGCTTTCGCAAAACTCAAATGCAGGCTGTATGTCGACCACCATCCTTAAATTACAGACTGAACTGTACACTACAAGTCCTGGTAATATTAACTGATTTGATTTGTTTCACTTCAGATGTTGTTTAATATGAGTGTGCAGTCCGATCATTGCAAACTGTTATCAGCATTTGAAAGAGAATTACTTCCACTGCAACAAGGCAAGATGATGTCAGACTCGGATGTAACTCAAAAGTTAAGAATCCACCAGTAAGTCACAACAGCTATTATCAAACTACTTGGGTTGTAGATTTCTGTTGTAGTAAAAGATTTTATTGACTCCCGTGTGCGAAGCACAAAAGGGAGTCTTTGCAGTTACCCTGTCTGTATGTCTGTATGTCTGTATGTATGTATGTATGTATGTATGTATGTATGTATGTCACTTTTTTTGTTCCACCGTTATCTCAAGAACCACTAATCAAATTTTCGTGAAACTTGGTACATAAATGCTCTGGGATGATGCGCAGAGTTGATTATGTTTTGGTAAAAATCTATGAATATTAATTACTTAATTTGCATGATAATTAGCTGATTTTTAGCTGTTCCAAGACTGTTCCACTGATATCTGAGACCACTCATTGGATTTTGATGAAACTTGGCACATGGATGCTCTGAACTAGTGCGCAGATTTGATAGTTTTGGGTAAAATCTATGAATATTAATTACCTAATTTGAATGATAATTAACTGATTTCAAGCTGTTCCATGACTGTTCCACTGATATTTGAAGAACCACTCATTGGATTTTGATGAAACTTGGCACATGGATGCTCTGAACCAATACGCAGATTTG